CTCTGGTATTGTTTGTTAAAAAGAAAGATGGAACCATGAGATTGTGTATCGATTATAGACAGTTGAACCAAGTGACAATGAAAAATAAGTATCCATTACCTAGAATTGATGATTTATTTGATCAATTACAAGGATCACAAGTGTTTTCAAAAATTGATCTTAGATCTGGATACCATCAGCTTAAGATTAAAAGTGAAGATGTTCCCAAGACAGCTTTCAGAAAAAGGTATGACCATTATGAATTTTTAATCATGCCTTTTGGATCAACCAATACACCAGTTGCATTTATGGATTTGATGAATCGGGTCTTTAAGCCCTTTTTGGATAAATTTATTGTGGTATTCATCGATGATATTCTAATTTATTCCAAGAATCAGAAGGAACATGAGCAGCATGTAAGAATGGTATTGCAAATATTAAGAGAAAAGAAATTGTATGCCAAACTTAGTAAATGTGAATTTTGGCTTGAACAAGTGACATTTTTAGGACATGTCATATCAAAGGAAGATCTATCAGTTGATCCTTCAAAGGTTAAAGCCGTTGTTAATTGGAAACAACCAAGTAATGTGACTGAAGTTCGAAGTTTTTTAGGATTGACAGGATATTACAAAAAATTTGTAGAAGGATTTTCTTGAATCGCAACCCCATTGACACGATTGATACAGAAAAATGTCAAAATTTGAAGGGACAAGTGAATGTGAGGAGAGTTTTTAAGAACTAAAAGTTCGATTAACTTCAGCACCTATTTTAACTATTCTTGAGGGGAGTGGGGGATTTGTGATTTATAGTGATGCTTCAAATAAAAGCTTGGGTTGTGTATTAATGCAATATGGGAAGGTAGTGGCATATGCATCCAGACAGTTGAAATAATATGAGAAAAAATATCCAATTCATGACTTGGAGCTGGCTGCAATAGTATTCGCTTTGAAAATGTGGAGGCATTATCTATATGGTGAGCAATTCGAAATACACAGATTATAAGAGCTTGAAATACCTCTTCTCTCAGAAGGATTTAAATATGCGACAGATAAGATGGATGGATTTCTTAAAAGATTATGATTGTACAATCCATTATCATTCAAGAAAAGCTAATGTTGTGGCCGACGCTCTAAGTAGAAAATCTACGGGAGTCTTAGCTCATCTAATGATCCAAGAAATGAAATTGTTAGAGAAAATAGTGGATTGGAATCCAACTCCGTCCATTAATGGAGTGGTAAGTATGATTGTCAGCATTAAGGCAAAACCCCAATTAATCCAACAGATTCGATCGGCACAAAAGAAAGACCCTCAACTTATAACAATTGTAAAAGAGATGAAGCTGGGAAAGAGAGAAGAATTCTCTATATGTAGTGAGGATTTGCTAAGATTCAAAGGTCGGGTTTGTGTCCCAAATGATGAGAGTGTGAAGAAAGCTATCTTGGAAGAAGCACATCATTCTCGTTATACGATACATCCCGAAAATATTAAAATATATCAGGACCTGAAGAAAACCTTTTGGTGAAATAATATGAAGAAAAGAGGTAGCACTATTTGTGTCTAAGTGCCTAACATGCCAGCAAGTAAAAGCTAAGCATCAAAGGCCCGTTGGATTGTTACAGCCTTTACCCGTGCCAGAGTGGAAGTGGGAGCACATCTCTATGGATTTTGTCTCTGGCTTGCCTAGAACAAATTCAGGACATGATAGCATTTGGGTCATTGTGCACCGGCGACCAAAGCATTTTCTGCTGATTCGCACGACGTACACTTTGAATCGACTGGCCCAGTTGTACATTAAGGAAATAGTGCGGTTGCATAGAGTTCCGGTCAATATTGTATTGGACAGGGATACTCGGTTTACTTCTAAATTTTGGGCTAGGCTACAGTCAGTCATGGGG